GCGCAAACACTTCTTATTCTCCAGAATTTCACTTTGTCTGAGACATGAAGAAAAAGCAAATATTTTACTAGCTGGTATAATTGAATTGGCCTCTGAGTTGCATGAAGGTAACAATCTTGACAGTAACATTTTCTAAACCAGAGAAAAAAAGATAAGTACTTAGTCCTGGCACATATATATATGATGAGTGTCTGCTTCAGGTTAAGAACAAATGGGTTGTTACAAAAGTGCTATTTTGGGAGAAATGAGTTTTAGAAAACATGTTAGAGAAAAGGTGATTTTTTTCCCTCTTTGAAATGTTGTATTATTCGATTGCTGGTCAAAAGCTTTCAATCTATCATGATAATGTTAGAGCAGCTCTGACATGTCTTTTACTGCAGCTTTCCTTTTAAAGGTGGCTTTAATGTTCACAGCGCTATGTAATCTAAGTGTATTGATATGTAACCTAGTTATTGAGAGAGATGACCTACATGAGAGTAGTGGAATGACTATTATATGTCTATAAGCATTCAAGCAGGACTATCACCAAGAAGTCTATGGTCGCAGACAAGCCACACATCCCTTGCGTCCCAACAGCTTTGAGGATTTTACAATTTTTTCCAAACAAATTACAAGCCTTGTTCTGCCAAGGGCAGGAACTAAGAAGTTAAAGGGCTGTAAACAATTAAAACGACTGCATTCAGGGAATGAGTTGGGAGTGATTAAAAAGATTAAACATCTTTTAAAGGACTTTTCCCCCCTTAAGGTTGGAGAGAGACATGGTTTGTGAGCTGAGGGAACAGGCTATGCCAGATGGACTATAGGGTGTAGAGGTTTGAGAATCTGGAGTCTACCTTGATGCATTTGAAGAATATAGATATATAGTAATCTAAACATCCAGGACATGTTTTATTATCTTAAGATTAGTCTTTCTTGTCATTTTCTTGTTTTGGAGTGAGGTATGCTTTTTAATAAGTGGTTTAGGTCAGTGGGTACCACTGACACCACTCTGGAGGAAATGGAATTGTAGAAACACTGGACTGGGAGGAACCTGAAGAAATCGTCTAATTCTTCCCCCTGAACAGAGATAAGATAAGTAAGGCTAGAATAGTTCTAACAATGGCTTTTTTTACCTTATTTTTTAAAAGCCTTCAATGAAGGAGATTCCCCAACCTTATTGGGTAGGTCTGTGTTACCATTTAACTGCCTTGTAGTTAGCAAATATTTTTTTGATAACTTGCAAAATAAGATTTAGGTTGGATATTTATCCTTTCCTCAGTAGACACGGAAGACAATTGATCAATGTCATTTTTATAGTAGTTCCCCCCCACCCCACACACACACGCACACAAATGTAAAGGCTATTATCATGTGCCCCTAAGTCTTCTCTTTTTATACGTTTTATACACAAAACCCAGGTCCTTCAGCCTGTCATCACAGGTCAGGTTTCTGACCTCTTCTTTTTGTTGCTGTCTCCTGACCTCTTACCAGTTTGTGAACTGGAAATGTTAGCCAAACTTTCACCAGCCTCAACCAGAGCAGAACAGTTGCATGTTTTACATGTGACTCTGTGTTAAGATGTCCCAGAATTATAATTGCGTTTTTTTGCCAGAACCTCACATTACTGACTCAGAATCAGTTTGCAGTCAGATGTAACCCACACATTCTTTTCTGCAGTACTGTAGTTCAACCAGTTATTCCCACTTCTGTGTCAGTGCATTTGACTTATTTTTTCTCGGTGTTATACTTTGCACTTGTCATCTTTGAATTTCTGATTGTTCGTTTTTTGACCATTTCTTTAATTTACCCAGGTGAAAACTCTTCCCCACTGCTTGCAATCCCCTTTCAGCTAGTGTTATCCACAGATGTTGTGTCCTCTTTACTCCATCATTCAAGTCTTTAGTAAAAATATTGAATAAATCCAAGCCTCTGATGGAACCTGCTTGAAATGCTGTCCTCTTAACAGTGAACTATAGAGAAAGATCTCTTTGAGAGTACTTGCCAACCAGTTGTGATTTCATCCAGATCATATTTTCTGAGTTTGCTTGTAAGAATGTGAGACGATGTCAAAAGCCTGACTAAAGTCAAGATACCATATCTACTGATTCCCCATATCTACTAGGCCAGTTAGCTTGTCAGAAAAGAAAATTGGATTGGTTTGACATGATTTATTCTTGTCAGGTCCATGTTGTGTTTTTTTTATCACATTATCCTCTCAGTGCTTATAAAATGACTGTTTAATAATTGTTTCTCCTACTTTTCTGGGTATCAGAGTTAAGCAGACTGGTCTTTAATTCCCTGGCTTCTCCTTTTTAAAACTAGGTACCACATTTCCCCTTCTCTAGTCCTCTGAGATTTCTCCCATCATTCATGAGGTCTTGCAGATGTTTTCTTATGGTTGAGAGATTGCTGTGGCTTTTTTCTTAAGTGTTCTGGGTGAATTTCATTGGATTTGCTGATTTCCAAGGGGCTCACTTAGCTAATCTGCTCCTTCCCTATACTGGCCAGTGTTTTTGTCCCTTGTTAAAATTGTGTTGGGGATTTAGTCACAATTTACCTTTTTTTCTGAAATGCAAGCAAAGAAGGCTCTGAATACTTCAGTCTCCTATGTTGTCCATTGTATTTGCTTTTCTTCCTCTTTAAGTAATGGAGCTCTACTTTCCCTTGTCTTGGAACTGTTTCTGCCAATTAGCCTTTCTGATTTTTATCCTTAAGGTCATGCTTTTCCTTTTTTATCTTCAGAGTTTTGGGGTTGGGACATGTCAAACTGCTGAGGGACTCGCATTTGGTACAGAGGACTGCAATCCATGATCTGGTCTGAGAACAGTAGAATCATGCAATCCTGTCCTGAAGGCAGTGTTGGCTTGGGGCCTGGAAGTGGTGAACTTGAAATGACCAGGAAGGATCAGAGGTGGAATTACATATGGCTAAAAATTATGCTGTGACCAGGGCCTGCACACAGCCCTTTGCCACAGTGACCATCTATAACTGACTGAGAGGAGGAGGGTGAGGTGCCAAGCAGCTTCACAGACAGTTGTGCTCCAGCCAGTGCTGCTGTATGTGACTAAGGTTAAACTGATTTACAAGCCAGATTCGTAGATCTCGCATTAGTCAGCAAGTACAGTTATGTCTATGCCTATGGCAATATGAAATACCAGCTGATCTTCGTTTTGAATGGCTTCTCTTTTGGAGTGCAGTGCAGTACTCTTGTCTTAATATTAGCCTCCGAAATATGGTAGCAATATGCCTGTAGTCCCTAGGCACATCCACGTATTCCAGTAGTTAAAGTCTTTAACTTTGGGATAGTGGCCTTGGTTCTTTCCAGGGTCTTTGGCCTTAGTAATTGCTTCTCTGCCATTTATTCTGGCTAAGATTGTTCTTTCCAGTCTGTGAAACACATTCTTAATGTGGTACTGGTAAGCCGTATGAATTTCTTTGGAAGTTGTCCTCTCACGTAAACTGATGTGGTTGGTTGTTGGAGGCTAAGTTTTCTGTGTAGCCCTGAGTTGCTGGATTTGTACCTTCAGTATCACACTCAACTTCAAGTCAGGCGGGATTGACTGCATGAGGATGCTGTATCTACAGGAACTTTTATTCTTTCCGGAAGACTTTTTAAACAGGTAATAATTCTACAAGGTTGTGTGTGTGACTGGCACAAAACACCTGTGCCAAGGTGGGGACTGGGAGAAGCACCAGTGGCACAGGTGCAGGCAAAACCACCCTGTTCTTCAGGCCAGATTCAGTGACTTCATGGGCTGGATCTGGCCCGTGGGTCATATGTTGCTGATTCCTGTTCTCTGTATAGTAAGGAAGTGGAGGTCTTCATCTCCACTTGGTGCGAATGTTATCCCTGAGATACTGCATGGACTTCTAATGTTGTGAACTCCAGTATTTCAGATAGGCGAGCCCAGGAAAGTAAGATAGGCATTGTGTAGCAAGAAAACTAGAGATTTAAATTGTTATATTAGTTTAAGAGGATTACATTGTCCTTTCCAAGTTATAACCTAAATAACTATATATATTTTTTTTTCTTGCCATGAATAACACTGCCTGACATTGATGCAGGCTTGCAGCAGCTTATGTTCTACAGAGGAACAAGAGAACACCCTTGGGTCTGTCATTACAAATGTCAGTTTAGAAATTAATTGGTCACTGAAGCAGTGGGATACGTACAGTGAAATTTGGTGAATACTTGGATTATCATCTTGCAAAACATCCAATATCAAATGTCTGTTTTTATTTATAATTTGACTTGACTTTTTTTTCTAACTAAGAGAAATATGTGTGTCCTGAACCTAGAACTCTGCTTGTGGTGAATCAGATTGTGTAGATGAGAAAACACTTCTCACGTCACTGGAACTTGTCTTTTTCCAAAGGCCTGCAGCTGCCATTAAATCCTGTTTGGTTTTTTAGGCTCAGAGAACTTGCATTCCTTTACTGAAATGAAAGGATTTTTCTTAAGGGGGAAAAATGGTTGCAGAATCTCTTTGGAGAGGGGAATATTAAGCTATACTCTTCCTTTTTAAAAAAGTGCAGTAATGGTCTGTTCATGGCAGTCTTTTTGAAGGATCTGAATTAAAACAAAACAAAAAAAGCAGTAAACCCTTCCCTGCAGATGCTTGGAAATCTCCTAATTCATCCCTCACTCAATCTTGTAGCAGGGCCTGCATACCTAGTGACTTAGGAAGATGGTGGAGGAGCACAAACTGTTATAGCAATGTTCAGTCCACAGTGCAATCTTGGTCTGTTGCATAAGATCAACTAGAGGTGAATGTTTCTTCCCTTCCCTCTTCCCTTCCCTTTCTAAGGAGCAGCACTGAATTCCTTGATTAAGCACATCTCTAAAGCCATCGTGCACTGCTGGTATGAACCGTTTTTGTCTGTCATTTCTCCCTAATGCAGTGCATAATGGTTAGAGTTATAGCTGTAAGTCAGGACAACTCTGAGAATTACCAAATTTTCTTTGCCTACAATGCTACTTGAGTACGTTTGGTTTGATTTTTTTTTTTCTTTTTTCACAGGCTCTTCAACTAAGAGAGAGCTGCAAATGCCCCTCTCTTTCTGGACCAGATCCTCGCCTCATTTTTAGACTTAACATGCAGCATCTTCTGAAAGCATCTAAAGATCGAGAAAGCCAAAATGCTACCGAGCAAGGTCTAACAAAGGTGAAAGTGGAGTTTCCTCCCACTCAAAAGATGGAAAATATTCCAGTAGCTTTTGCAGTTAAACCCACAGATTGAAAGGAAAACTATTCATCTGAGAAACTTGTAAAATTTGCTATCCCACCTTTTCCTGCAGGACTTTGGGATAATAAAATAGTCAGGACAGCTACAAATCAAATTTGTGCCTATGTGGTGCCAAAAATCCTATGAGGCAAATTGTCTCTGAGCCACAAACAAGACCGGCTGGCCAGTATTCTTTGTGTCCAACCTTCTGGGGCTCTCCTGCTCTGTGCAGTGAGAAACTCTGGCCACACAGGGAGAGCTGTGTATTGGAGTAGTGAGACTTCTATTCATCATGGGATGCTAAAAATAAATAATTTCACTGGGGAAAAATAATCTCCGTACAATTGAGTCGCGCAGTATAATTTTCAGCTTTGTCAGGCTCACCTTGATCAAAGGACAGATAAACCAGAAGCCTCTCTAAAGCAGAATAAATAGTACAGTCTTCATCACTTAAGTTGCCTGTTTTAGCTTGCTGTAATTTGGGTTAGATCCTCCTGGCTTCATTTAAAAAATAATGAGAACTCACTGCCTGTTCCATGTATAAAATGTTTTTAAAAATACTAAGCTGAGAAGCAATAAAATGGCCAGTGGGCTGGACACAGCCACCTAATTGGATGGTTTTCTGCAGGATGTCTCCTTTTTGAGTGCATTTTAGAATATGAGTTGATTCAGCATTTCTCGTTAAAGCAAACTTGTGCAGACTTGTCTTTAAAAGTGAAATCAGGAAGTATATGAAGGAATCTTAAAAAATCTGTGGTTAAAAACTTGTGGACTTGTGGGACTGGGATAGTTTTTACAACCACACTGTGCAACCACAGTGCCTTTTTAAAACATCGAGATGCCTCTCCAGAAGTCAGATTTGCTTCTGTGTCTGCTGGTTTGGACATACCAGTACCTGGCTGTTGTACAATGCATTACCACTTCATAATGCATTAGGTAGTCAGTGGATACAAGAAGACTACTAGGCCATAGAGCTGCAGATGCTGCACCTAATGGTAACAGGTGATTTTTTTTTTTGGTTTAGGAAGCTATTGCTATAGAAATTAAATATAGAAATGAATAGCCTTCTAAGTCTGTCCCTTTCATGGGGGTGATGAGGATCATAATGATTCCCACTGTGGGGCCTTAGTTGGAGTCCATCAGGTAGAGAAGGAATTGTAAGGAGATATTTTCAAAATGGAGCTTGGAAAGATGCGTGAAGCTATGCCCTTTTCCCATTGCTTGGTCTGCTTTTCTGATTGAAGGGTTTAGTGTGACCACTCCATTGGCACAACTGGTTGGTGATTCCTAGTGCTAAGTTTGACTGAGGAGCTGCTTAATGGAGCTTATCTGGGAAAAATACAGAAAATTTTCCTTGTGGACTGTTAGGGAGGGAGCTGTCTGCCTTTTCTTTTTTTTCCAAAACACCTGGATGCAGTTCCTTAAAAAGGTCTGGAATCAGGTGGAGTAGGCAGCAAAGCATTAGGGCTGTGCAAAGCTTCAGTAGCTGATTAGATTCGGAGGAGATTCAGCCCGATTCGAGGACCAAATCTCTGAATCTGAATCGAATCGGGAGACCAAGTAAAAGCTCAAAATCGATTTGGAAAAGCTTCAGAAAAGATTTGACTGATTCAGAGATTCGACCATAGGCTACAGGCAGCTGACAGCTGCCTCC